TTTGCTTTATTTAATAAAAAGAAAAGGCCTATAATTCCAAAGCCCTACATTTTATGATTTTCACATAACAGTTTTTCACTTCTAAGAGACTGAAAAGCTTGGCAAGCCCCTCGGGTGTCTCCTATTTTTCATCAAATGTCTTATTACTGTAATGGTAAAGGGGGAAGATTTTACATGTATATGCAACCTGAACAAGGATAAGCTTAGGTGTCTCATGAAAAACTTTAACTTTTTAAAAACAGGCTGTGAAAGTGCAGTGTAGGTAATGAAATGCCCTTTCTGTAATAAACACATTTAAAATGTATCCAAAGGAGGCAAACAGAAATTATATATCAGAGTGATAGGTCACCTTCCAAATGTCTTGCAGATACCATTTAATCAATGACCACAACAATATTTAAGTAGCGGGAGGGAGACTGAAATCTAAGAGGTCTTTATTTAGGATTAACAGAATCTTGGGTTCCATAACTAAGATAGGGAGGAGAAAATGTATTTTCTTATGAAAGACAATTATGGCAATTGAGGAATTTTTTAACAGCTTTTCTGAGATATAATTAACATACAGAGTTCACCCATTCCAAGTGTACAAGTCATTGCTTTTTAGCATATTCACAGATATATACAACCATCATCATAGTCAATTTTAGAATATTTTCATCACCTCAACAAGAAATCCCTTATCTTGGACTATCACCCACCCCCTCCAACATTCCCATCCCAGCACTAAGTGACTACTAATCTATTTTCTGTTTCTATAGTTCTCCCTGTTCTGTACTTTCATAGGAACAGAATCAGATTCTATGTAGCCTTTTGTGACTGGCTTCTTCCACTTAGCATAATGTTTTCAAAGTTTATTCACATTGTAGTATGTTTCAGTACCACATTCCTTTTTTATGGCTGCATAATAATCCCTGGTATGGATATATCGCATTCTATTGACTTATTTGTCCATTGATGGACAGTTGGGCTTTTCCACTTTTGGACTATTAGCAACAATGCTGCTATAAATATTCACATACAAGTTTCTGTGTGACCATATATTTTCATTTCTCTTGGGTATGTATCTACCTAGGAGTGCAAATTCTGCTCTATGATAACTGTGTGTTTAATTGATTGAGGACCTGCCAGACTCTTTTCCAAAGCAGCTGCACCATTTTGCATTCCCATTAGCAATGTAGGAGTGTTTTGATTTTTCCACATCCTCATCAATACTTGTTATTATTGGGCTTTTTGACTCTAGCCACCCTAGTGGGTATAAAGTGGTATCTCATTGTGATTTTGACTTGCATTTCCCAGATGACTAATAGCACTGAACATTTTTCCATGTGCTTTTTGGCCATTTGAATATTTTGGAGAAATGTTTATTTAGATTCTTTTTTTTTCTTAAGATTTTATTTATTTATTTGACAGAGAGAGAGAGAGAGAGGCAGAGAGAGAAGCAGGCTCCCTGCAGAGCAGGGAACCTGATGTGGGACTCAATCCCAGGACCTCAGGAGCATGACCTGAGCTGAAGGCAGATGCTTGACTGACTAAGCCACCCAGGTGCCCCTATTCAGATTCTTTGCTCATTTTTTAATTGAGTCAAAATGAGTCAAATTTTTAATTTCTTTTTATTATTGAGTTGTTAAGAGTTCATTATAAATTCTGAATACAAGTTCATTATTAGATATATGATCTGGAAATACCTCTTCCCAATCTGGTGGTTGTATTTTCGCTTTCTTGATCTTATCAATTCAGGTATTTTTGAAGGACTTGAAAAGCCATATTTATTTTAATTAGCATAATTTTAAAATTTTTGTTCTCATATACTGAAGGATATACTACTAGTAAGGCATGGGCTTGTAATTGCGGGTTTTCCATTCCCACAATAGAGGTAATAGATCACATTATTGTGCGAGGAAGCAGGAGGAGCTCACAAACCCGAAGCCATGGGTTTTCTCTGTAGTTCTGTTACTCACAGTGTGATTGACATTTGGCAAGTTAGTCACCCTCCCTGGGTCTTAATGACCTACTCCACAAAATCTGGGTATGAACTAAAACAGTGGTTTTAAAATATTCTTTATCAGTAGTAAACATATTTTCAATGAAATGTTAAGTGTACTCCTAATATATAAGATAAATAAAAGGGTTTTTAGTTATATAAATTTGTTTGAAATTCAAATTTATGATATTTCTTTAAAATTCAATCAATAAGCAGAGAGAGGGGATAGTAATACAAACATTTGAAACCCTAGATTATGGGTGACAATTGCAATCTGCTACCAACGTCAATATTCAGTTTGGTTCTATTGTCTGTATTTACTTTAAACAATTCTAATGTTCAGTTGGATCACAAAGGATTTATTGCAAACTGAATGAGTCCTTTAAAAGCTTGCCTTGCATTCTCATAACACTCTTCAATTAAACAAAAAGGGCAGAAAAATTTTTACTGGAGCATTGTTTCTATGGTAAGTGTTCTATGCTAAAATATATCTCTTTACAAGTAAATTTGAATCAAGCATTTACGAAATCCCTGAAGCTCATTGTATAGGATAAAGTACAGTAGTCCACTCTTATCCACAGGAAATATGTTCCAAGACCCCCAGTGGATGCCTGAAACTGGGGATAGTACTGAACCTTATACACACTATGTTTTTTCCTTAGATAGATACTTATGGTAAAGTTTAATCTATAAATTGAGGACAGTGAGAAATTAACAATAATGAATAACAATAAACTAGAACAATTATAACAACACACTGTAATAAAAGTTATGTGAATGTTGTCACTTTCTCTCAAAATATCTTGTAGTGTATTCACCCTTCTTCTTGTGATGATGTGAGATGATAAAATGCCTACGTGATGAGATGAAGTGAGGGGAATGACGTAGGCATTGTGACATAGCATTAGGTTACTATTGACCTTCTGACGATAGATCAGAAGGAACATTATCTGCTTCTGGACTGTGGTTGACCGTGAGTAACTGAAAACTGCAGAAAGAGAAACCGCAGATGAGGGGGAATGACTGTATATAGTCAAGTACCAGAGCTCCTTTTAAGTTCATAAATTTGAAGTTTTATGTATAGCTCTTGTCTAGTCCCACTGGGATAACTTCTGGGACTCCTGAGCTGGTAGGACCTCTGTGGCTACTGATTTAATAAAGCTAATTGGATCTCATTCATTTTTCTTGAGAAAAGGGCAGATGGAAGAGGAGGAAAGGGAGAAAATGGCACACTTCATGGAAATAATCCCAAACAAAAATACCTCCTTTGGCAGATATTAAGGATCCTCCTAAACTCAGAAGCCCCAGAAATTTGATAATATGGGGAAAGAGAGTCTTTAGAAATGACAGGAGCTTTGAAAAGACACATCTTCAGGCACCCCACAAACCCCTGGCTCTGGAGCTAATCAGCAAACCTCCAGTGTGGGAGTACGTGACTCAAGACTAATCGTGAGCAATCCTTTGCTAATGTTGTAGGGGGATCTCAGCCCACAGGGCTTTTCAAATGTTTTACATAGTCATTTACTAGCCATTTTAGTATATGAATAAGGTGACGGTATAAGTTGTCACTGAAACTACGATACCATGAAAGTGAAAAGCAGCACTATCAATGATTATCCTGGGATGACAGTTGTAAACCAAACTGTTACCAGGCAAACCGGGATGAACGGTCACCCTGTGAGGAACCACCCCCTTCCCCAACAGAAGGCACTGCTAGAAAACAGACAATTTGTAGACCTGTAACGTTCACCTGGTAAAACCTAACTTTCCAACTTTTTAAAGTACATCTTTGAAGCTATGCTAAAATATAAAGTGGTGAGTCAGCCTAAGAAGTATCTTTTTTTTTTTGTATGCAACTGTTTACAGCAACTTTATTCATTATTGCCCAAACCAGAAACTAACATTCACTAACTGGTGAATGAATAAAGAAATTGCAGTACATTCATGCAATATACTACATAGCAATGTAAAAGAACAGACCACTGATATGTGCAAACACATGGATGAATCTCCAGTGTGTTCTACAAAGTGAAAGAAACCAGACTTAATGGCTGATACTGTAGGATTCCATTTATATAATATTCTGGAAAAAGTACAACTATAGCCTAAGAAGTATCTAACATGTTAAGGGAAAAAAAAATTCACTTCTGAGTTCAGGATGCTGACAACACACAAAAGAGAATATAATAAATATTGGAGTTATATAATTGGTTTGCTAAATATGAATTTGATTTAATACAATTTGTTTTAACTACATGAACATAAAATAATTAGGCTTTACATTTTAGAAAATGCATGTTGGTTATAGACAATTTTTTTTGAGTCCTTATGGTTTTTGGTTCCACTTACTGAATTTTTGACTTATGTAATTTGTCTGTTTATGTCATATCTGTTTATTTTATAATCCTTGATAGACAAAGATCATGTCTCTTACCCTTTCTTCCTCCTTTTAGTTCTATTTATAGTACCATTTAGTTTATTCCTCGAATAGTGCATTCTCAAAACTGTTTTAACTAAGATTTTTAAAAATTTATCAAATCCACAAACAAAATGCCTGATCACAAAGTATTTTGTTACTCTGGTAATCATCAGATTCTCATCTAGAGCTTTGCCATTCTTCTTCGATATCACTGATCATCTCAGGGCTAAGTTCCCTTCCAAAGATACTAGTCAAAAAAAATTTTTCCCTATATCTGCATAATCTTAACTAATCTACATTTTAGTACAATTCCTATAACTACTTATTGTTAGTGAAATGGAAAAATCTAAAACAAAAAATATATCACCCCTTTTTATAATTCAAGATATTCATAGAAGAAAGTTGGTTATTGATGATATTTGATTTAAATTAACTTCTGAGAATTACTTAGATATATGTCCAGTAACATGGAATAGTTTACTATTTATTTTAACGGTTGTCCATTTGAAAATAGGAGCTCATAGTAACATCAACTGGGAGGGCAAGGATGAACAGGTTTGACCTCCCTTTCTGTTCTTCCACAATTCTATATATACTCACCTCCTCCAAAAGGTCCCCATATGACTCGGCGGATGGACTTAACCCAGTCTTCCATATCATTCTGGGTGCTCGCCATAAGGAGGTAGCTCTCATGGTTTGCTGTCATCCGATCTCGATCGCCTCCTGTAAGATAGTAACACATGAGTGTGTGCTCAGTTGAAGATTCCCCATCAGCAGCAGTGTCCCTGAAATGTACACTATGCCTATCTAATCAATTGGAAATATTTACCATGGTTTCAGAATGAAAAAATCTGCTTAAAAAGGAAAGGCTCTTATGTTTCCAGGGGAAAAGTGGAGAACAAATGTCATTCCCCAAACAAAGCCTGCCTTTTTGTCCTAGCAACAACCCATAGGTCTGCATTAACTTATAATCCAGTCTATTCACACTGCACTGCTGAATAAGGAGAAATAGCAAAGCAAAGTGAAAGATGGAGAAGTAATCCACAGAGCCTGGATATTCATTGGAAGCAAGTGCTGAGCAATCTGAGTACTGCTTAATACACACACACTGAGGCCAACCAGGACATCATGGGCAATCAGGGGAGTTCTAGGAAAGGGAAAAGAACTACATGTAAAACTTTTGACCCAGCGGTCCTCTTCTATTGCTCCATCATGGAAGGGAAGCCTCTTCTCCCAGAACACACCTTCAGGGGAGCAAACAAAGAGAAGAGGAGAAGAAGGCACAGCCTGGCCAGCCACAAATGTCAAAGCAACCCCCTAGATGGCCCTCGCACCAAAGTGTAAGCTTTAGGAAACCCGAGGGGTGCCTCCATGCAAAAGCTTGATGGTTTCTCTCATCTTACTACCCCTCCAAAGAACAACCCATATACCTTTAAACCTTTATAATCTCTAATATCAATTTTGAAGTGCTAGACCTCAGATGCCTGCGATTTAATTCCTTAGAAATGTTTTATACCATATTTACATTTCCCTAGTGACTTAAATTTCTCATTTATAAAACAGGCATAACCATATATAACCTTGAAAGGGGTCTTGAGTCATGGTTTTCCTTACTTCCTATTTTATGGTTAAAGCAGTATTTTTTTTAAAGATTTTATTTATTTATTTATTTATATTTATTTATTTATTTATTTATTTATGAGAGAGAGGGAGAGGGAGCGGGGGGCGGGGCGGGGAGCAGAGGGAGAGGAACAAGCAGACTCCATGCTGAGTGTGGAGCTCCACGAGGAGCTTGATCTCATGACCCTGAGATCATGACCTGAGCCAAAATCAAGAGTCAGACACTCAACCAATTGAGCCACCCAGGAGCCCCTAAAGGAGTGTTTCCAAAGACATGTATCAGTAACTATACTGCTTTGGTCTCTTTGAAAATAATGAGTGTTGTTCACAGAAGGAATACTTAAGGAAAATGGAACATTTAACTGAATTCTGATAATGTTTTAGTATTATACTAACTTCTGAGGTGCTCAAAATATCTATGCACATTTAAGTGTTCACTAAGTGAACACTAAGCACTGTACACTTGCAACCTCGGGTTGAATTAGTTCATATCCAAGTGTCATGTCTGACTGAGACATTTTTGTTTGTTTATTTCTTTTTTTTCTGAGTTTTCTTTGTTCTCTTCTTAAAAATTTTTTTATTATGTTATGTTAATCACCATACATTACATAATTAGTTTTTGATGTAGTGTTCCATGATTCATTGTTTCCGTATAACACCTAGTGCTCCATTCAGTACGTGCCCTCCTTAATACCCATCACCGGGCTAACACATTCCCCCACCCCCTCCCCTCTAGAACCCTCACTTTGTTTCTCAGAGTCCATAGTCTCTCATGGTTCGTCTCCCCCTTCGATTCCCCCCTCTTCATTTATATTTGCAAATGACATATCAGATAAAGGGCTAGTATCCAAAATCCAAGAGCTTATCAAACTCAACACCCAAAGAACAAATAATTCCATCAAGAAATGGGCAGAAGACATGAACAGACACTTTTCCAAAGAAGACATCCAAATGGCCAACAGACACATCAAAAAGTGCTCAACATCGCTCGGCATCAGGGAAATCCAAATCAAAACCTCAATGAGATATCACCTCACACCAGTCAGAATGGCTAAAATTAAGAAGTCAGGAAATGACAGATGTTGGCGAGGATGCGGAGAAAGGGAAACCCTCCTACACTGTTGGTGGGAATGCAAGCTGGTGCAGCCACTCTGCAAAACAGTATGGAGGTTCCTCAAAAAGTTGAAAATAGAGCTATCATACTACCCAGCAATTGCACTACTGGGTATTTACCCCAAAGATACAAATGTAGTGATCTGAAGGGGTATGTGCACCCCAATGTTTATAGCAGCAATGTCCACAATAGCCAAACTATGGAAAGAGCCCAGATGTCCATTGACAGATGAATGGATAAAGAAGAGATGGTATATATATACAATGGAATATTATGCAGCCATCAAAAGGAATGAAATCTTGCCATTTGCAACAACGTGGATGGAACTGAAGGGTATTATCCTGAGCGAAATAAGTCAATCAGAGAAAGACATGTATCATATGATCTCACTGATATGAGGAATTCTTAATCTCAGGAAACAAACTGAGGGTTGCTGGAGTGGTGGGGGGTGGGAGGCATGGGGTGGCTGGGTGATAGACATTGGGGAGGGTATGTCTATGATGAGCGCTGTGAATTGTGTAAGACTGTTGAATCACAGACCTGTACCTCTGAAACAAATAATACATTCTATGTTTGTTTCTAACTGGATCTAAACACCTTCATGAGGAACTTACATTACAGGCTCCAGTTCATAACAGGCCCACCCCACCACTCACTATTCTTTCCCGTCCAACCTAATCTGCACATAGGTGTGAAAGCCATAGGCATTTGAATCTGTGACCTCTGAATTCCATACAGTTGTCCTAGGTTGAGAAATAGAACTCTTCTACCACTGATGTAAATTTATAGAACATGTGAAAGGTCAAAGAAGTGAAATAACTTTAAGCCAATCAGATGAACAAGTAGAATTGGTGTTGTATATTTTAATACAACTGGATGGGAGTAAGAGGGGGGGTGAAGGAATCACATCAGATTGGTTTCTTGGGGCACCTGGGTGGCTCAGTCGGTTAAGTGTCTGCCTCCGGGTCAGGTCATGATCCGGGGTCCTGCGATCAAGCCCCGAGTCGGGCTCCCTGATCAGCAGGGGAGTCTGCTTCTCCCTCTCCTCCTGCCCCTCCCCCTGCTTGTGCTTTCTCTCTCATTTGCTCAGTCTCTCAAATAAATAAATGAAATCTTTAAAAAAATTGGTTTCTTAATGTTTATAAATTCTTGACTAAACAAGGCTAGCCTTCCCATACTATAAAGAACAACTCACTGGGAAACAATGACCCTCTTACACCTGTAGGTCCATCCTCGGTCCATCATCACTTTAAGCAACTCGTATCTGAAAAAGCATAGGTGTAGGAGTCAGAGAAAACCCAGCTAAAGTCTTAATTTTACCTTGTACTGGCTGTTTGATTTCTGGGACATTATATAACTTCTGGAAACTCAGTGTTTTTAATTAGGCTTTAGATATAATAATACTGATAGAATAAATTTTTGTGAGAATTCAATGAAATAAAGTGACAATATTAGCCCTGTGTTAGGCTAAAGGAGAAATTCTACAAATATTAATTCAGCCTCATTTAACTGCTCCCACACCTACAAATGCAAAAAGAACAAATTTTATTCAATTTGACCTCAGAGATATTATGTCTAGCAAATGCTTCGGAACAGTTAGTCAATAGCAAGTATATATATATATATATATATGGATTTTTATTACGAAGCTATCTTTCTCTGATACACAATGCACATTAAAATTATATACTGTACATGTATGTAAATATGCCACATATTAATATGCATGCACATGGCCATATTACAGAGAAGTGGCAGAAAGAACTAAACGACAAAAGGAAGACATGCTTCATTTGGCTTGGCGCAGCACTGACAATTTATTCTGTATTCTTATCCACTTATACCCCAGTGCTAGGCCAAAAAAATTACCATTTTGAAATCTGAATATTTTAATTATTGTCTTTGCCTAAGGGAGACTTAGCAATTCAGACAGCAATATCCTGCTGTGTCACTCCCAGCCTGGGCAGAGACAGCCCTAGTAATGAGTGAGTGACAGCCACTGGAGTGTGTTTCTGCCTGCAAGTAGGGAAGAAAGAGAATGAGAAGCACAACTGGCCATTATCCCCTGACTTTTCATTTGATTCTCTGTCTCTGACCCTGAATCTCATTTAGACTGCCAATCATAGATATGAAATCCCGTCTGTGAACTTCACCCATGGATATGGATCTTGATTCCACAGGGTATTAACAAGAGAGGGGGAAAAGATGAAAGCAACTTTACCTACCAGTCTTGGTGGAAATAGAGACTCATTGCTACGAATGCGATTAAAACAACTGGAGACATTTATATAAACATGAACTAGACACGCTACTAAAAATATATGATTTTCAACTAGAGATGCCATCTGTTCTAATTCACAGTCCTTCAGGTCTAAGAGCTGGTACTGCACCTTGCAATTAAAGGGGTTCAAAAACAACTTACCAAATGTACGAGCTGATAAATAAATTCAATATTGACCTTCAACCATGTGAATCGTTCCACTCTCTTTGTTAATCCTTTACAGGGCTTAATGTTCCATTTAACTATTCATGGATCTAAAATTTTTTCAAAAGGTGAAATTTTAAAAAGCAGTCTTGAGATGTAATTTTCACTGAAGTAAGAGTGTCATAGTCATCTTCAATCCATATAAGCATATATACGTGTGTATATAATATATTAAAGTCAGTATATACTCCACATTGTTCAATTCCGCTTGAAAATTAATACCTGCTCAGCTTTGTTTTAATTTTTTAATACTACTTTAGATTTGCACACATTTTTAAAGGATACAATGCTTCAGAAAATTGTACACATCTTTTAGATATTAGCTTGGGTTGGTAGCAATGCTTTGGTGGGAGTGTTAATACTTCAAGCATCTGTGATTTTAAGTTAACTGAGTAGGTCATATTGCTCAATTTTACTTGTTTATATGTAATTGAAAATACGTGTACATTTTATTGGGATCTTCTGTATATTTGCATTTGACATAAATTGTTTTTTCCCAGAAAT